AAAACTAAATATTGTTATCGTTATAGTTATCATCCTTGGTGTGAATGGGCCTTATGGTGTGTTCAAGTCATGTCGGATAGATCGTATTTACGAGTTGAACGCACATGAACGCCACCACAAAGTCCTTATTACGAGTGGGAAACCCGAAATTTTCTTTAAGCCCCGAGTTTCCGAGTTGGGGGCCTGTCAATGAGAAACATGGCGGAATCGGTGGATGCAACGTCTGTAGTTGACAGTAAATTTTTGTTTAAATTGATAGTTTAGTTGTCCTATAAACTTAAATTGGTCATGTTCTTGTTACGCAGCTGAAATCCAAGTAAAAAAATGCAGACCCTGTTGTATTTTCTTGTAATTTATTAAAATAAGGCAACTTACACTGCCATCTTGTGCCGACTAAACTGACTTGAACGCACCTGACGTCGTAATTACGACTTGTCAACTGGTAAGTACGAATGTCCCAGAAGGACTTGAACGCACCATTAAACACTTAATTTCTAAAACGAGTTTGCATTAATTTACTGCTAATATGACAAATTACGTCTTTTGTGCTTTTCAGTTTCTTAAATTGCCATGGGGATAATTTTGCATTCAAGGTGACTTTCTGAAGGCATATTTCAGATCCAGTCGCTAGTGGTTCACATAATATTTCGACCTCAGACACCTCAATTTCCAGTCACTCTCACGCTCAGCATTTATGTCGTAACCTAAATGCTTGTCTTCTCTTGAATACAATGTTTTTTTTCATAGCTCTTCACTTGACCCTGTGAGGACATGTGTTTTCATGGCTGCCCCATCCATGTGGATACTCAGTCCAGCTATTAATTTGATTATGAATAGTGCAATAGAGAGCTTTTGAGCTATTTAACTCATGTGGCTCTAGGCTCTCTTGATGCAGTATGGCACTGCGTCAAGATTGTGTCTCCGATATGGTGACAGCACTGAGGGGTGATATTGACAACCAGTGAACAGGTTTTCTTTAATATGTTGCGTTGTAAGAATATAGCCGACTAACAGCTGCAATAAATGTGTAGAATCGACAATGAAGGCACATTTGGTTCAATAGATGGCCATGCCAAGCGTAATAGGCTATAGGATGAGAATAAAAACAAGTATTTTTAATACAGAAGCAGCTCGGTTTAGATGATAAGCCACTTCTTTGTACCATATTAAATTAATCTTTCTAGATTCTAGAGTTCATAATGGGTGACTGACTAGCGGAGCTACGCAAACCCTGTGTTATATTATGTCGCCATCTTCTGGGAAGACAAAAAAAACAATCAATCTGCTTCCTCTTACTAGCAACTTTTTTTAAAGGGGTCATATGATGCGATTTCAATTTTTCCTTTCTCTTTGGAGTGTTACAAGCTCTTGGTGCATAAAGAAGATCTGTAAAGTTGCAAAGACTAAAGTCTCAAATCCAAAGAGATATTCTTTATAAAAGTTAAGAGTCACCCACTAAAACGACTCGTTCTAACACGCCCCCACATACCTACGTCACTATCTGGGAAGATTTGCATAACGCCGCCCAAATGCTCAAGAAAAGAAAGAAGGCGTAACTTTTATTCTCGCTGTAGTATTGTTGTTGCCGCCGCCGCCATGTTGTGAATGCGCTGTGTGATTCGTTGTGAAAGCGAAACTACTTTGTTTGGCCTTCCAAAAGAGGACGATATGGCTTCGTCATGCCTGGAGCTGATCCGTGCTGGTCGCTGAAGAAATACTTCAACGTCGCGCTGTCGATCGCCGGATTGGCTTTCACTCCGTGGACGAAGCGGAGTCCAGCCAGGAGTCCTCACATGTGGTTGCCGCAGGCATCACAGTATGGTAAGGGGCGTAACATTTCCGTCACACACTTGAGGAATTCTGCCAATCACAACGCACTGGATAGCTGGCCAATCAGAGCACACCTCGCTTTTCAGAACGATGAGCTTTGTAAAAATCTACGCGTTTCAGAAAGGCGGGGCATAGAGGAGAAACAGTAATGTACAGTATGTGGAAAATTTGTTTTTTGAACCTTAAACCGCGTAAACATTTCATTACACCAAATACACAAAATAATGTTCTTTTTAGCAGCATCATATGACCCCTTTAACATCTCATAAAAATTAAAAAAAGTTTAGGCAACAAATGATTAAAATGAAGCTTAAGTGAGTACACGTTTATGAAACGTACAAAATTCGCATTAGTGATAAAATAACATCTTCGTTAAAAGATTTGACAACTCTTAATTTTATTTTCATTGATAAATCAGGAACCATTAAATTAGATGATGCTTAAAACGTTATTAGTTCATGTAAATTGAAGTGTAAATAAGCAATAGGAAAACTTATTTAACGCATAAAATCCAACTTGCCGGGACGTTTCTGGTATGCCTAGTAAGAGCTTGATTCGCTGGTTCAAGTGTGTTTAATTGGGGTTGGATCTAAACTCTGCAGGACACCGGCCCTCCAGGAAAACCGCGTAAACATTTCATTACACCAAATACACAAAATAATGTTCTTTTTAGCAGCATCATATGACCCCTTTAACATCTCATAAAAATTAAAAAAAGTTTAGGCAACAAATGATTAAAATGAAGCTTAAGTGAGTACACGTTTATGAAACGTACAAAATTCGCATTAGTGATAAAATAACATCTTCGTTAAAAGATTTGACAACTCTTAATTTTATTTTCATTGATAAATCAGGAACCATTAAATTAGATGATGCTTAAAACGTTATTAGTTCATGTAAATTGAAGTGTAAATAAGCAATAGGAAAACTTATTTAACGCATAAAAGTTCGTGTATTTAATCTAGATGTTTCATTGTCTGCTAACTAGCCTACTATAATATGTTGAGCATAATGTAGGCTACTAATGTTTCATAATGTTATTATAAGTCTTACCAGATGTTTTCACTCATGTCTCCTCAAATATTTACTATATAACCGGTTTCTGCTCAAATAGGTGGGACATTGTTATTAATCTAATCCAGGGGTGCCCAAACTCGGTCCTGGAGGGCCGGTGTCCTGCAGAGTATTTTCATTGATAAATCAGGAACCATTAAATTAGATGATGCTTAAAACGTTATTAGTTCATGTAAATTGAAGTGTAAATAAGCAATAGGAAAACTTATTTAACGCATAAAATCCAACTTGCCGGGACGTTTCTGGTATGCCTAGTAAGAGCTTGATTCGCTGGTTCAAGTGTGTTTAATTGGGGTTGGATCTAAACTCTGCAGGACACCGGCCCTCCAGGACCGAGTTTGGGCACCCCTGAAATCGGTTTAATTATCATTTTGTGCATTCTTCCATTACTCAAATCAGCATCATCCTAAAATAGTGAGGGAAGATACAAAAGAGATTTTTTTTGGTTTGGACATCACTCAGGGGGGAGTCATGAGCGGTCATACAGTATCACATTTGGACAGCAGTGGTGCGAAACACTATGGTAAGTCAAATTACAAAACATAACTTAAATATCAAAGTTTACGACCGAGTTTGGGCACCCCTGAAATCGGTTTAATTATCATTTTGTGTATTCTTCCATTACTCAAATCAGCATCATCCTAAAATAGTGAGGGAAGATACAAAAGAGATTTTTTTTGGTTTGGAGTCATGAGCGGTCATACAGTATCACATTTGGACAGCAGTGGTGCGAAACACTATGGTAAGTCAAATTACAAAACATAACTTAAATATCAAAGTTTATATACGGTTAAATGTAATGAGAAGGACAGAATAAGCCACGGTATCAGTCAAGTTAGTTCAATCAGTTAAATATAGTTATTTAGTAAAAACAAGCGTTTTAAGTTATAGGCCTATTATAAGTTATAAATATATATATATTTTTTTCATTTTTTGTCTTTGCGTATTGCCATTGCTGTTACATTGTGTTATAGCCTATATACGAGGCTAAACCATTTGGAACGACTAATTAGAAACTGTATTCACTCAGTGGATACTACAGTAAAACCATAAATTAAAATGATAGTCTATCTGATTCAAACAGTGTAAGACTAAAGAATCTTTCATTTCGTTCGAATCTTTGTAAAGATTTGATTAAAACCAACCTGGCAAAAAAAAAAAAAAGTCTCAAAATATATAAATAATAGAGCATTAGCTAGTTAGTAAGCTGTTTGTTTGTTTTATTAACAAACTGTAAGAATGAACTGTCCGTTTAACACTACACTCTAAAAAATGCTGGGTTAAATACAACCCAGTGCTGGGTAAAATAGGGACAAACCCAGCAATTGGGTTGTTTTGACCCAGCGGTTGGGTTAAATGTTCAAACAGCCAATCATGGGTTTGTCCCTATTTTACCCAGCACTGGGTTGTATTTAACCCAGCATTTTTTAGAGTGTATATTCTTAAAAACAGCAGTTTTCATTTGGTAATCTAGAAGTTCAGCGTTTCATTATTCCAATATATAACGGTTAGTCATTTGTCCTCACTTTACGTCCTCGCTGTGTATTATTATTACACATAATATATACTGTCCTAGACTGTAAGAATGAACTGTCCGTTTAACACTACACTCTAAAAAATGCTGGGTTAAATACAACCCAGTGCTGGGTAAAATAGGGACAAACCCAGCAATTAGGCTGTTTTGACCCAGCGGTTGGGTTAAATGTTCAAACAGCCAATCATGGGTTTGTCCCTATTTTACCCAGCACTGGGTTGTATTTAACCCAGCATTTTTTAGAGTGTATATTCTTAAAAACAGCAGTTTTCATTTGGTAATCTAGAAGTTCAGCGTTTCATTGTTCCAATATATAACGGTTAGTCATTTGTCCTCACTTTACGTCCTCGCTGTGTATTATTATTATTACACATAATATATACTGTCCTAGACACACGTTTCAGTGATATTTCCTTCATTTCAATTTCCATGCAGTATGTGCCAAACAGTAGCTAAATGCTGCCCCCATTTGAATGCTGTATGTCATTTTTCATTTTCCAGAGAAGAGGAGCAGAAATAATCATCTTTGACGGGTGATTGTAATTGTAATTTTAGAGTAATATTTAATAAAGTCTAGTGTGCAGTATTTATTGACAGTATTCAGAAATTGGGCATCACAACAATGCATCTGCTTGTTTACAGTTTTTTAATTATATGGTTCTTTAAAACATATGTTTTAACTGAAATAAAAATACCTACAGTATGTTTTCACCAAATTATGTACATATCGGGTCACATACAGTATGAGGGGGGAAACAACTATTGGGAATTACAGTAACATAGAAAACTTAAACCAAATTCCGAAAGATTACAGGATTTCATAGTACAATGCCATTTGTCCCAGTAGTAATCCAACCTAATATAAATAATAGAAAAGCCCAAAATCCTGGTATGTAATGTAATTGTATTCCATTATGTACAAACAAACACATTCCAATCATTAGCAATCTAGTAAAACAGACCTTTTAGTCTGTGAAGTTCATTTTGCAGGTGACATTTTTGTCAAAAATTGCATCACACAAAGTTTGACCAATAAAAGTAAAACTTTATAGAAACGGAAGGTTTAAATATAGAGAGGGTTTCACAGCATGTGTGAGTGGAGTTCTCATTCACTCAGCAGTGGCATCATCAGAGCTCGTCGTGGCGCACCGGATCACTGCTGGGCTGAATAAAAACCCCCTCCATCACCTTCCAGTAGTTATGCTGATTGGGTGAAGGCATTCCATGGACCTCACGCTGGCCTCTGATTGGTTGACCGTACTGCTCTCCGGTTACACTGAGGAAAACCTCAGTGGCAACGTGTTTAATTCGCACAGCATCGTCACGTTCCCAGTATGTTTCGCCGCACTGCACGGCCCATACGTCTAAATCATCTCCTTCTCCATTTTCACCAAACGCACTCACTTCCTGCAAACATAAAACAAATCAACGTGATAATGTAATTCAAATCCAGCCAGTTACAGTCATCTGAACATGTAGGTTAAGAGAGGAGAGTGTTGTGTGGATCTACCTGGTGGTTAGACAGTGGGGAGCTAAAGTGATGTGAGTGCAGGTTGCGTCCGGTCTTCATGTGTGTAATGCGGATGGCCTGTCCGCATCGAATGGGCTCCCCACGCTGACAAACTGTGTCTGGTTTTCCACGGATACGCCAGTAGCTGTTGGCATCATCGGCCGAATCCACACCGGTTACTGATTGCTGGCCACTTCCTGCAGGGCATCGTGTAAACAATTGTTAATTTGAGCATATATGGATATCATCTTGAACCTCATATTCATTATATACTGTAGCATTCCAAAGTACTCAAAGGATATTACAGTACCTTAGCATCCCATATTACATTTTGTACAAGAAAAACATAAATCATAAGTGAGTGAAGTGACATGTGGCCAAGTATGGTGACCCATACTCAGAATTAGTGCTCTGCATTTATCCATCCAAAGTGCACACACACAGCAGTGAACACACACAGCAGTGAACACACACCCGGAGCAGTGGGCAGCCATTTATGCTGCGGCGCCCGGGGAGCAGTTGGGGTTCGGTGCCTTGCTCAAGGGCACCTCAGTCGTGGTATTGAAGGTGGGAGAGAGCGCTGTACATTCCCCCCCCCCCCCTACAATCCCTGCCGGTACGAGACTCGAACCCACAACCTTTTGGGTTATGAGTCCGACTCTCTAACCATTAGGCCACGACTTCCCCCACATCATGCATCATATATTGTGTGTTTAAATATATGGTAACACTTTACTTAAAGCGTTTATGTATAATGCATTACAAAGGGTTATTAAGGGGTATAATGCGTTATAATTATTCATAATGTGCGTTGTAATACATCTTGTCGTAAATAATTATAACCGAATTTAAAATGCATAGTGTAACAATGAATTGATAAGTGTTATAATGCATTAACTCTGGTTATAATTATTAATGAGATTGTACAATGCATTATAAGGTGCATTAAAAGGCATAATTAATGCATTAAAGCTACTTTTATAATGCATTATACATTAAAGCTTTAAGTAAAGTGTTACCGAATATGCATTCAAAAATATTTAGACATATTTGTAATGAATTAATATTGTTATTATTATTATTCATTTCTAATGTTGTTTATTATTCATGGTATTCAGGGGATCATTTTGTTTATTCTTATTGTTTATTATTTTGGTCAATTTCTGTACACAACAATTTGACCTAAACAACTGCTAAACTAAGACATCTGGATCCTCTGAGTGAAATATCAGTTTAATATACATTTTATTATTATTATTGTTGTTCATTTCCATGTTTTGTTTATTATTCAGGTCAATTTATGTATAGACGCATATAGATAATTAATACAAATATTTAATCTAAGCAACACCTAAAATATTTGGATTGACCAAGTTAAATATCACTTTATAATTATTTATTATTATTGTGGTCAGTTTCTGTATAGATGCATACTTAAGTCGTATCCATAAAAAAAGTTAACGTTAGGTTTTTTCCAATGTTAGGTACAGTTACAGTTCATTTAACAGATATCACAGAGCAAGTTTTGTTAAAAGAAAAATTCTAAAACATGCAAAAAATGGTGCACCTGTCGTGTATAGACGCATATAGATAATTAATACAAATATTTAATCTAAGCAACACCTAAAATATTTGGATTGACCAAGTTAAATATCACTTTATAATTATTTATTATTATTGTGGTCAGTTTCTGTATAGATGCATACTTAAGTCGTATCCATAAAAAAAGTTAACGTTAGGTTTTTCCCAATGTTAGGTACAGTTACAGTTCATTTAACAGATATCACAGAGCAAGTTTTGTTAAAAGAAAAATTCTAAAACATGCAAAAAATGGTGCACCTGTCATCATGATTACATAGATCTTTCAGGTAAACATAATACATCCGAACCAACAAAAATAAACCACTGGGGATGAATGAGAGTCTATAAGCAGTGTTGGGGAAAGTTACTTTTAAAAGTAATGCATTACAATGTTGCGTTACTCCCTAAAAAAGTAACTAATTACGGTACGGTACGGTACTAATGCGTTACGTTGCTTTTGCGTTACTTCTTAAATCTGGACAGGGCTTGCTTGTTTGTTTTTAAAATAAAAAAAGTTCTATTTTTGGCAAATATAAAAGCCTTTTCACACCAAAAGTGAAATGAATAAGCCTCAGGCTGAAGGGAAAGTACATTTACGTCCGTACAGTAGAATGCAGAAGAAGTCATCTCAACACACTTCAGCAATAAAAAAAACACAAATGTTTGTCTAGAGTCATTTTTGATTATTAGTACCTGATTACGTAACTCGCGTTACTTGTAATATATTACCCCCAACACCGTCTATAACTGGCTAACGGAAACACAAATACAGTACTTTACTGAAATATTAGCAGTCATTAGCTTCCTGGCTAATGCATACACGCACCAGCTGCTATTACACTAAGCAATATCACCAATATAAGTGCATTAAAAAAAGATTAAGCTGTCGACTACAACAGAAACATTCTCGGAGAACTAAATTGCTACAGTTTATGATTATATAGATTATCCCCAGTGGTTCTACCTGATCCGTATTTGACATCGTGCGAGTGAAGCCTGACGCTGTGGCGGCTGTTCAGCAGTTTGACCACAGACCCACAAGTCACGTAGCTGGAGTCCAAATCACGAGCGCCGCTTTGGGCAAACATGAAACACACTAAAATGACAGCCAGAAAGACAGATATAACTCTTAATGGTCCCATTGTTACAGCTCGTGCCTATGTACATCACAGAAAGATGTATACGGAAAGCCCCATTCAAACGCTGACACGCTTTCTAACCAATCGCATCGTGACAAGTCCGAAAACAAGGAAGTGATCCACGCGCACACACGGAAACCAGTGATTGGGCGAGGAGGGTGTGACGTCACGACACATTAACGAACGTTACATTATACAGTCGGCTCTCTAAAGAGTTGAAGTTACTTGAAAATTGAACGGGTATATGCTGTCTTTAAAAAAAATAAAATAATGTAATGTAAACCCATTCCTTTAATTGTGTTATCATTTTGGATGTCTTGTTAAAGTTGTATGTTATGTCTTTAATGTCTAATAAAAAAAATAAAAATAATAAATTAAACAATCGGCTCATTAGTTCATGTACATGTACATTCAAATAGCTTGAAATATTACGAAACTTTTATTCATGTATTTTAAAATGCATTACTAGATATTTACAAATTCTTGTAATTAATTAACACTATCAATTAACACTATTTTTTTCGTAAAGAACTCCAAAAATGTCTGGATTCAATTATTCAAATTATTATTATTATTATTATTATTATTATTATTATTATTATTATTAGGGCATGTTATCACACAAAAGTTAATAACAAAATAGTTCTAAAACATGCAAAACTAAAAAAAACAAAAACTAAATCTAAATCAATTAAAAAGAAAAGAAAAAAGCAAATATTTTTTTCCGTAAATGAATTAATTGTATAACATTTCGACATTTACACATGCACAGTTTAACCTTTGTTTAAAACTACCTCATAGTTACTTTACTTATTTACCTTATTTATTAGCCTATATTTATATTATATTATATTATATATATATATTTTAAACAATTTATTATTTAATTGTATTTAATTGTATTATTTAATTTTGATTAGCCAAGAATATAAAGTGTAGTCCTAATTTAACATTACTTTTGAACTAGGTGTTTGAAACTAACATAGATAAGCACTACTAGTGGAAAATGGGACTTTAGCCTCAAAATACAATAGATACTGAGAAAAAGCACCTGTGACAACATTACATGTGACAGCTCGACCTGGTTTCCACTACAACATAACAAAGAATCACTTTCGACTAACTGTTGTCCCACTACTATTTGTACCATTCTTTCATTAGGAGCTGTTTACACAGGATGCATTCTTGTGTTTAACAAAAGCTAGACATATAAATATTCATTTATAAAAAGAGGAACAAGACCTGTTTCAGAGTTTCACTGTTTTTAAGCGAAATGTATCAAATTTCTAAATGTAATTGAACTCCCACTGTTTCCAGTAAACTGTTGTGCTACAGTGTTATTCTAACACATAATGTAAGTGATGCCATGCATATTATCACTACGTCAGGTGGCTGAAATTGAAAACACTTCATGAACATGCACAAACAAAGATCACAAACATGATACCCTCCCTCTCTTTATGAAGTTTTCCATATTTCTAAACGAGGTTACGTGTCTTGGGAAAACATTCAAAAGCCTCCACAGACACATAAGCAAAGTCACACCTGCTGCCTGAAGTCTGTGTACAAGGATAACATTCAGCTTACATTAATAGCATCGAGAACAGCAAAACCCTGGCTCTGGTGAGTATGCCTAAAGCATAGTTTACTATTGTTTATTACTTAATATCGGATTAAAAACTTCTATAAATAAGTTTTTCTATTTTATCTATAAAATATCTATTTTCTAAAACACCACATTGTCATCTTTTGCTTCAGCCTCTATTATTCCTAAAGTGGCATATCGTGTTTTTGGTTGCCAACATCTTCGATGAAGCCAAAATCAAATGAATCATTTAAGAACAAATGGTAAGCATTGAGCATATGGAATAAATATCTATACATTTAAATAAAAATAAACAAATATCACATATCCATTTAAAACATATATTTTTAATTTAAAAATAGACTTGGATTTAAATCGGGAAGAGGAGCCTTGCACATGTGGCGTTGTTTTATTCACATCCGGTAGAGGGCGCTGCAACTCCGGAAAAGGAAATAGCAGGTTTATGTCTTCAGACGGTCGCTCTCTCCGCACAGTGTTGGATATATTGTAAAAAGGACTAATGGCAAGAAACTCGCAATAAAATGGGTAAGCGATTACCACATTATTACTGCTAGGCTAGCTAGGAGTATATATATATATATATATATATATATATATATATATATATAAAAACAGTTAGTCCCTTTGAAATTATAAAACGGTTGTTTGTTTCTTTGCTATTAATTGAGCAAGCGGAGCAAATCTATAAGCAGTATAGGGCTGAGTAGATGCGATTGTACACCATATGTGATGGATAGGCAGTGGCAGCTGCTCGTGTTGACACCGACCAAGAGAATAAGGCGGATCTGTCTTCTCAACGAGCCGGTGATTTCCCGGTAAGCAGCTCTCCCGCAGCCGAGACTCGCGTTTCACACAAACTTTTCCACGACCTTCTAATTCATTGAGATGCACCTATATATATATATATATATATATATATATATATATATATATATATAAAAACAGTTAGTCCCTTTGAAATTATAAAACGGTTGTTTGTTTCTTTGCTATTAATTGAGCAAGCGGAGCAAATCTATAAGCAGTATAGGGCTGAGTAGATGCGATTGTACACCATATGTGATGGATAGGCAGTGGCAGCTGCTCGTGTTGACACCGACCAAGAGAATAAGGCGGATCTGTCTTCTCAACGAGCCGGTGATTTCCCGGTAAGCAGCTCTCCCGCAGCCGAGACTCGCGTTTCACACAAACTATGGCAAGCCGTTTTAGCATTAAATACTCCTTGCTTTACAAACCGTTTCGTCTCGTGTTTAAACAGATGGTTTTGGAATGACGTGGTTTGGAACGTTTCCTGAATGATTGGGTTTCATTAAATATGACTCACATAGATGAACACTTCTCTGTCTGTGTTCATATGGGGATTTCTGCCTTTTTAAGAGATCGGTAATCGGTGTCCTATGGCTATTTTAACGGATATCTTCGTTTCATCGGCTGTCAGTATCACTGGATCTCGCTTCATCGGTTATTATTAGTATATATTGGATATACCAACCGTTTGTTGAAAATAAGGCAAAACAACAGGTAAAGTAACTTTTTTTTAATACATTGTTTGTATAATTACTCAGCGTTTTAGTAATATAAAAATGACAGCAGTTCCTTTTCAAGTGAGAATAGGTTGTTTGCACATGACGTCACTGGTGACGCGGGAAATGCAGCTGGAGAGCAGGAAGTGATGTTTCTCTGAGTAGGAATCACTAGCAGAAACTCCAAATGCCTGTGTTTTGCGCTGTTTATGGATGCTCAGATCGGACAAACCGAGAAAGCACAAGGAGCTTATATCGTGTTCGAAAATGTGTTGTTCATAAGTGGGGAAAAGTCAAGAAGTTGATTGAGAAATGTAGGAAAAAGTGGCTTGTAAACCTGCGTCTGCGGTCGGGAGGAGCGAAGCTCGTGTGATAATGCCCGTGCGTGCTAATGGTTATTATGGGATATAATAATATATTAAAGGGGCCATATGATGATATTTTAAAGATCATTATTTTGTGTGTTTGGTGTAACAGAATATGTTGACATGCTTTAATCTTCAAAAAACACATTATTTTTCAAATACTGTACATTATTGTAGGTCCTCTATGCCCCGCCTCTCTCAAACGCTTCGTTTTCTACAAAGTCCCTCCTTTGACAAGCGCAGTCTGCTCTGATTGGCCAGCTGACCCAGTGCATTGTGATTGGCCGAACACCGTAAGCACTCGTCGGAAATGTAACGCCCCTTACCATAATCGCGAGCTTCATCTTTCAAAACAAATGTAAAGACGGAGCCCGAAAGGGGAACAGAGTCGCGTGACAGACACAGTGATGAAGCTGGTATGTGTTTGCAGTACACAAGCCACGGTTAAGACGGCTGACTCCACTGTGATGTGACCCCGTCTCTCTCTCTCTCTCACACACACGCGCGAGCACACACACACGATGCGCAAAACTCCGCATTTGAACAGTCAATAGCAAAATAACAAAACAGTAGCTGATTCAGAAGCACCAGATTGTCATAGCAAAGTCAGAATGACCTCCTCTCAACTTCAGGGATCTTATCTATGCACAATCAGCTTGTAACACTCCAAAGAGAAAGGAAAACTTGAAATCGCATCATATGACCCCTTTAAGATATTAATAAAGAAATATATAGATTGGGCTGCCACCTCTCACGCATTCAGAATTCACTCGGTGCTAAACGCCACACGTAGACACGATGTAAATAAGATATTATTTGCAGTTCAGAGAGCTTCACTGATTATGAAGGAACATCGTGAGGTTGCGATAAATTGAAGTGAGTGGCAGCTTTTTTTATTTATGGATTATATGGAACCGCTATTTGCTCGCTTTCTAGGCACGCTATAATCGATTCAGAGAAGGAACATCGTGAGGTTGCGATAAATTGAAGTGAGTGGCAGCTTTTTTTATTTATGGATTATATGGAACCGCTATTTGCTCGCTTTCTAGGCACGCTATAATCGATTCAGAATTTGAATAAAAGTTTTGTTTTACGTGCTGCTAACAGGACCAACAGCCACATACCCTGTACATGCAGCACAGTTTCAGGAGTGACTGAAAAAGAACGGATGTGATGGAGGAAAGTCCGTAATGTACTGTTTTAGGCATGAGGCACATATATATATAGCGCTTTCATTGAATTTCTATACACCCACCGTGCTTTACAATCATGAGGGGATCTCTCTTCAACCACCACGCTATTACAAGAGAAAGGTATTGATAATCACAACATGTTGGATGTGATCCTTATGTTATAAAGAGGAGCGATTTTTAAACTAAATTCAAATTCTGGCCTGCCATTGAGGCGGTGGATATAGGCTAAGCAACCCTGATTGTAAACAAGCTATTTCGAAAGTGAATCCCGTATTTATATGAGGGATGCGGGATATATGTCACTCCTGAAACTGTGCTGCATGTACAGGGTATGTGGCTGTTGGTCCTGTTAGCAGCACGTAAAACAACTTTTATTTAAATTCTGAATCGATTATAGTTTATAATTATAATATCTTATTTACATCGTGTCTATGTATGGCGTTTAGCATTCAGTGAATTCTGACTGTCACCCTGTATCTATTTATATATTTCTTTATTAATATTTTAATATATTCTCTTATATTAACCATTTGCACACACGAGCATTATCCGGCTTTACTCCTCCCGACCGCAGACGCAGGTTTACAAGCCACTTTTTTCCCTGCGTTTTTCAGTAAATTTCTTCACTTTTGACTTATTGGCTCCTTGTGGTTTCTCGGTTTGGCCTATTTGAGCATCCATAAACAACGCAAAACACAGGCATTTGGACTTTCTGCTAGTGATTTCTATTGAGAGAGAAATCACTTCCTGCTCTCCAGCTGCATTTCTCGCCTCATCAGAATCACGTGATTGCAAACAACCTATAGCTTAACAATTAGCCTGAAAAAAAAA